GAGTCTCAGGGGCTGCCAGCATTCCAGGCTGAAGGCCCGGAGCAGAGTCTGATCCACGTAGTTATTCTCTCTGCACAGGTGACTATTATTAACAAACAGGTGTTCCGTATTTTCTCGTAACTCAAAAATATTCCAAGTAGGCAGCTGTTTCCCACTTACCACTGACTACAGACAAACTAAAAGGTGTTCTCCACGAGGGAGCCCCGGGGGCGGGGGCAGAGAGCTCAAAGAATTGTTTTAACTGGTGTACGATATTTATACATTGTTTTACCACTTAGGAATGCCCCCAGTGGTTTTCCGCTTGAGAAGGGGGCCGGCTAGGTTTTCCTTGTCATTGTTCTTCCTAGCAAACAATATACTCTATCATCACTCAGCATTCATCAATGTTCATAAACTCACTATTTCTCAACAGCTGGGATTATAGGCATGAGCCACTCCACCCGGTCCCAGATCAGGAGTTTTTGTTTGTTAGTTTGTTTTCTTTTTTTTTTTTTAAAGATGGGGTTTCACCATGATGGCCAGGCTGGTCTTGAACTCTTGACCTCAGGTGATCCACCCACCTTGGCCTCCCAAAGTGCTAGGATTACAGGCGTGAGCCACCGTGCCCGGCCAATCAGGAGTTTTTTTTAAGATTCTCAGGTGAAGCCAATGTGTAGCAAGATTTCAGAATTACTGTCTGGGACAGTCCAGTCATATTTCTCTTTCCACGCCTGTCTCCCCAGCTAGCCTGTGAGCCTCCCGCTCTGCATTGGTCTGTTTGGGCTGCTACAACAAAATACCACAAGCTGGGTGGTTAAAAAAAAAAAAAAAAAAAAAAAAAAAAGCAGAATTTTTTTTCTCATGGTTCTGGAAGCTGAGAGTCCTGAATCAAGGTTCTGAAACTGAGGGCGCTGTTCCTTGTAGACACCCCTTCCCACTGTGTCCTCCCATGGCGCTTTCTCGGTGTGTGTGTCTGTGTGTGTGTGTGTGAGAGAGAGAGAGAGAGTGTGTGTGTGTGTTCTGGTGTGTTCTTTATAAGGACACTAATCCTAATCCTAGGGGATCAGGTTGGCCTCACACACGCTTCTCATTCTCTAAGCAGAGTTGGAGGTATGTTCTGAGACGCCTGAGAGTTTTGGAAGGCCCCCGGGAGAAGGGTTGGCATGAAGCCCAAGAGAGCCCCGCGGGATAGCTCCCCTTTGGTGGGGAAGCCAGGCATGTCCCATGGGAATCTCAGTCTATCCCTGGCTGGAAATGCACACAGGCCTTTGGGGCAAGGCAGGCCACTGGTGTAGCTATCATTTTGAAAAGGCTCAGACTCCACAGCGAAGGGGGGTCTCCATGGGGTAAAAATATGGCTCCTGGAGTCAGACCCCCAGCACATCCCCAGCATTTTCAGCATGTTTGTTTAGGGTGATGTGAAAGGAGGACTGTCCTCTTAAAAAGCAAGGCCAGGGGAGCTGCAGAGAGGCTAAGGCCTAGGCAGGAGTGGGGTCCCTTCCTAGGAGTCAGGAGGCATCTCTCCGCCTCCATAACCAGCCTCGGAGGAGCAGTCGCTTCAAAAGCTTTTAAAATGCTTATTAGTCAGCTCTCCCTAGGGAAGCAGGTGAGCGTCATTATCTGCGTTAATAAATGACAAGTGAGAGTTCCAATGGCTGACTCACTTCCACAGCACAGCTAGGGCAGCAGTGGCCATGGAGGAGATCCAAACCCCCGCGTCCAGTGAGGTCCACAGAAAGAACCCGGGACATGGAGCCAGGAAACCTGGGCATTCGTCTGGGTTCCACCAAGTCCCCGTACATCCTTGGGTGGGTCGCTCAACTTCACCTTGGAACACTGCAGAACATTCCTTCTGGAACTCGGTGTTCCCATTTATGAAGCAGAAGAGGTTTGGAGCAGAACTCTTTCCCTCGGACAGCCCACCTTCTCTGGAGCATCCGCATGCAGGGAGTCTTCCTGAGGCGGACTGGGACGTCCTGAGGAAGTCCAGCTCTCTGGCTAGGGTTCCACACCCTGGGCAGAGGGGCAATGAGAGCTGCTGGGGTGGGCACTACTAGGTCAAGAAGGATTCAGGCACTGTGTCAGGAAAAACACATCTCTACAAGGTGGTGGAAAGGTGGTAAAGCCTCTTGGGAAGAGGCGTGCAGTTATCTGGGATAGCTGCGGCTGCCCTGGGGCCTCCTCCAGCTTAGGTCAGGCCTTCTGTAAACCATTTCCTGGGCTCTCGACAGCAATTCTACGAGACATGGCCTCTGCTCTGGATTCGAGGCTGGGCATGGTGGCTCACACCTGTAATCCCAGTGCTTTGGAAGCCGAGGCAGGAGGATCTCCTGAGGTCAAGAGTTTTCCTGCCCGGTTGCCTGAGTCACACCCTTCCCCCAGGCCCGCCCTTCCTGGCCTTCACATCTGGCTCAGGGCTCTGCTGAAGCCTTCTGGGGTAGCTGCCAATTCTGGCCTTGCCTGGAACTGCTTCTCACTTCCCAGGTCTGGCTTTCTGCAAAGGGACGGGCACATCTCATGTGAAGAGCAGATCCAAAGCAGGGCTCTGGGGTACAATGCAGGACTTGGGGGAAGACTACCATCAGAAACCTGTAGCCCCACACAGCTTCCCATCTACATTATTCCACCGTCTTTTCCAGCTTAGCAGTACGAGTCCAGGAAACTGTTGCCCAGGAAGAAAAAGTTGTAAATAACTTTATTGTTCGTTCAGGAGCTCTCCAAAAGAATCATTTACAGCAACATCAAACTGCTCACCTCTTAATTGCAAGAGAGTTTATGCTCCAAGACTCCTGGAACCCTTTGCTTCAAAATCCCCCCTTGCTGTATCCACTGATCCTAAACTACATCCCGATCTTTACCCAATCCTAATTGAGGCTTCCTTCCCTGCATTGAAAGTCCCACCTAAAACCAGACTGAAATCTCTCGTCACTTCTGACTGCCTTCCCCATTCTGACACCCTAGGAAAAAGGTGGAAAGGGAAGGAGAGGATCAGCTTTGCCTGATTAACAGGTGGATCTGGTGATGTTTTTGGTGAGGCATTCTTCAACAGGAAACTACACAGGTGGGAGTCCTCTCTCTGACCACTGGCCTTTGGGATGGGGAGGCCAGCGGCCTGAGTCCAGGCTAATCCACAAGGGATAGCTATAAGTGATCACAGGGTCTTCAGGAGCTGAGAAATAGTGACCATATGAGTTCTGGAAGGGCCCTTGGGGGTCTCCTGGTGTAGCCCCTTAGTTTTACAAACAGGAAACAGGGCCTGGAGAGGAAGAGATTTGTCCAAATCCCAAAGCTAGCTAGGATTGTTACAGGGATTAAATGAGTTAATATCTATAATGCACTAAGACACTGCCTGGTACCCACTAAGCTCTATGTATGTTTGTTAAATAAAAACAATGGATCATCCGGGAGCAGTGGCTCATGCCTGTAATCCCAGCACTTTTGGAGGCCGAGGTGGGTGGATCACCTGAGGTCAGGAGTTCAAGACCAGCCTGGCCAAAGTGGTGAAACTCCGTTTGTACTAAAAATACAAAATTAGCCAGGCGTGGTGGCGGGCTCCTGTAATCCCAGCTACTCAGGGGAGCACCTGGCCTAAAACTCAAGGCAAACTTAAGTTGGCCTCTCAGACTTAGAAAAAAGCAAACCCTGACTTTAACATGGAACCCAGAGCAGCAGTGCTCTAGCAAGCATCAGAACCACACAGAGCACTTGTTAAGACAGAATGCTGGGCCCCACTCCTGATTTCAGATTCTGCACATGTGGGGTGGGGTCAAGAATTTGTATTTCTTTTTTCTTTTGAAAAGACAGGATTTCGCCATGTTGGTGAGGCTGGTCTTGAACTCCTGACCTCAGGTGACCCGCCCACCTTGGCCTCCAAAGTGCTTGGATTACAGGCGTGAGCCACCACGCCCGGCCAAGAATTTGTGTTTCTAACCAACTTCCTGGTGCTGCTGATGCTACTGGTCCAGAGACCCCTCTTTAAGAACCATGGACTCAGCAGAACAAATGACTAAAGGAGTAATTTCTGGCACCAATAAGGGAGAAATTTGGAGATAGCGGCTCTCTTTATCCTTTCCCAGATACACAGTTTCCCCCTGACTGCCATCCTGCAGCAGAGCAGCTGGGGGGCACGCACCAATTCTGTGCCCACCTGTGACTAATCCACGTTTCACCCCAGTCTAGCCTTCTCTACCTCATGCTTTCAACAAGAGGACACCTCACTTGCATGTGGGCTGGTTTGATGCCCAGGCTATAGGAGGTCTGTACGGTGAGAATGAATGAAACACCAACCAGGCAGATGAAAACAATGCATTCTTTATTGCAGACTAAAGCTAAGGGGCTCACTCACTGTGAGCTCTGATTTGGGGGCTGCTGTGGCTGCCCACACTTTCCCGGAGAGGCAAGGGCAAACTCTCCAAGCAGAGGAGAAAACAACTTCCAGAAGCTGCCCCTTCAGAGGCCTGAGGTGAGGACCTGGCTCAGCAGACAGCTTGGCATGCAGGGGTTAACCAGAAAGGCCGGGTCCAAAGGGCCAGGCACACCTAACCCTCATCTCCTGGTGACTGCAGGTCACTCCCTTCTTCGGGAGTGTCACGCAGACTCTGGAACAATCTAACAGGCCAAGGGTCTCTCAGGGCTGGTTAGGGAGGAGGCTGCGCACAGGCTTGGATCCCTGGAAGTGGCAGGGAGAGAACTGAAACTTCACTCTCTTCTTGGAGGACATCCCCAGCCCCTGTCCTTGCTTCTCAAACTCTAAAGTGCTTACAGGAATCAGCTGGGGGGTCTTGCTAAAACGCAGGGTCTGAGTCGGGAGGTCTAGGGTGAGGCCTGGACTCTGCATTCCTAACAAGCTCCGAGGGGACGCTGCCACTGCAGGTCCACAGACCACACTGTGAGTTGCAAGGCTCCCTGTAGTCTCAGCTACTCGGGAGGCTGAGACAGGAGAATCACTTGAACTCGGGAGGCAGAGGTTGCGGTGAGCCAAGAATGTGCCACTGCACTCCAGCCTGGGTGACAGAGCTAGACTCCATGTCAAAAAAAACCCCAACACCAAAAAACCCAAAACAAAACCACATAAGCAGTGCCTGCCTGGTGCTGATACACTAGGAGCTCCAGGGGTGCTCTTGCGTAGACCTAACACAGTCATACACTGCCTTTGTGCATATCAGAGAAGCATGCCTCTTCTTCAACAGGGAGAAACCCTGTCCAGGTCACAAGGCAGGTGGGGCCAGCACAGCCTGAACAGGACTTCAGCCCCAACTTGCCCCCAACACCCACAGATGAACTCGGTAGCTCTGAAGACCTGTCTTAACCTCCTCATCCTGAAAACCCTTTGCCCAGAGTTTGACCAACCAGGCGTTGTGATATGAGCAGAACGAATAGTTTCTTGAGATACTGAGAGCTCAGTGATGGCCCAACAGGCCCAACCTGTCAGCTCCTTACCAAGAGACAGGAGACCTGGGCAGGGACAGGAGAACTGGGAGCTTTCTCAGCAGGGATTACTGCTCTGAGCAGTGATCTGAGCTCCTAACATCTTAGCCCTAGGAGTGCTAAAGTGGCCACTCATCCACAGAATGCAGGATTTGGGTGGCCTGGTTTTGTCTCAAGCCCAGGGGCCTCAGGTGCCTCCAGAGATTCAAACAAAGGTGCAGATCAGGTGGGGTCTGGGGCACTGAGTCAGCTTGCTCCACACATGAGAGAAATGAGACGTAGATGCTTGAGGACCAAGCAGTCTTCAAGCCACAGGTGTTCTCAGGAAGAAAAAGCCCCAGGCCTTCTCCTGGTAGGGGACCAGCCATTCCCACTTGCCGGGTACTGTCCCAGTGTTAGCACTGAAAGTTCCACGTCCTGGGAAACCAGGACAGCTGGTCACCCTGTTGCCTCATCATACCCTAAGATGCCAGGTTGAGTCCTTAAAAGGACTAGGTCATCAGGGGTTTGGGTGTTGGCCTGGGAACTGGCTGGCTACAAATTCGGCGATTCACACCTTGTTTGCCCCCAGGGGCCCTGACAAGGCAGCCAGGCTGCTGCTGGATGGGACTGTGGTGAGGGTGGCCATCTGATCACTTCAGACCAGAGCCACAGGTACAAATGGCTCTGCCGTTCTGGGCCACCTCTCCCACAGCTCAGGGATGACACTACAGAGGGACAGAGCACTCAGGACTTGTCACCCCGCCAATTTGTTAACTGTCAGGAAGGACAGAGCTGACGTGACTTGCTCCTCATTCCCAGCCTGCTGGTCCTCGGGCTCCTACATGAATGTTCTTGCCCCACAGCAGTGCCAGGCCAGATTCCCACCACAGCTCTTGCAAGACTCCTAGCGGAGGCTCCTGCCAGTCCAGGGACCACAGGGGTGAAGACCGGGCCCTGCAGAGGGCCGCATCCAGGTCAGTTCTCAGGAAGCAATAAATAGATGGGGGTTGTCTTCTCTTCTCAGGACAGCAACTGGCACTCAGCACTAAAAACAAGGCCTCAAACCCGCAGGGGTCCAGAAAATACCCAGCAATGCCCACCTGTGCCTGCTGATCTGGAGGTAACCTGGAGGCACATACTGCTTAAAAACCTCCAGGGAGCCCAAAGGAGGTAAAGGGTCCCTGCCTTTTTGTAGGGATCTTTTCCAAGGTCCCTTTTTTCAAGTGACAAGGCTCAGAGAAGGCAGGAGACCTGCCTGAGCTTGCATAGCAGCTGTAAGTGCCCAGAGTCCAGGTGGCAGGCGCCACCTTGCCTCTTCCCTTGGGCATTCTAGAGCCCGCTACTGTTGTAAGCTATCTATCCAGACCGGCTGCACCCCACCCACCACTTGCTGGTCGGCCCACCCACCCCCAGCCCGCAAGCCTGGCCTCCCATGGGCCTCCCTCCCTTCCAGGGTGACAGGCCAGTGGCCTCTGTCCCTTGCTGGGTGGGCATGAGGAGGGTGGCCTAAGGTAGGGGGCCTCTTGCGCCCTCCGGAGACATGAGCATGTCAAACTTGATGAGCGGCGGGGCGATCACGCGCACCTCGGCATTGAGTGGGTTGAAGCGGAGGTTGATGCTGCGCAAGGCTGGCATGGCGGCCAGCTTCTCCACGGGCACATCTGTTGGGGACAGAATGGACAGGTTAGAGAGGTGGGGGCCAACCAGACAGAAAAGAAGGACAATGGGCCAGGAGGACTCTGAGCACATGATGTTGAGGGGCAGCTCCCCATCACCCACTGCACATGGTGAGGCTCAGCTCCTGGTGCCCAGCCCTGTACGAGGGGCCATCAGGCCCACCAGGGTACTACAATCACATGGATGAAAGCATCCTAAAATATAAGAATCAGCTGCTTCAAAAAGTCAAACATAGGATTACCATATAACCCAGCAATTTTACTCATAGGTAGAACTGAAATAATTAAAAACTGGTATTCAAACAAACAATTTTACACAAATGTTCATTGCAGCATCATTTACAATAGCCAAATGTCTGCCAGTGGATGAATGGATGAACAAAATGGTATATACATATAATGGAATACTATGCAGCCATTTAAAGGAATGAAATTCTGATACAGGCTATGCCATGGATGAACCTTGAAAACATTGTGCTAATGAGAGAAAGAAGGCAGGCACAAAAAGACAGATAACGTATGACTCCACTTATGTGAGGTACATAGAGCAGTTAAATTCATAGAAACAGAAAGCAGAACAGAGATTACTAGGGACGAGGAGAAAGGGAAGCAGGGAGTTATTGCTTAATAGCTACAGATTCTGTTGGGGTGAGAAAATATTTTGGAAATGGATAATGGTGATGGTTGCACAACATGGTTAAAGTAATTAATGCCACTCGGTATGCTTAAAAATGGTTAAAGTCAGCTGGGCTATAGTCTCAGCTAGTCAGGAGGCTAAGGTGGGAGAATCACTTGAGCCCAGGAGTTCAAAACCAGGATGGGCAACATAGTAAGATCCTGGTCTCTGTTTCTTTAAAAAAAAAAAAAAAAAAGTTAAAATAGCAAATGTTATGTTACATATATTTGTCACAATTTAAAAATAATGTAATATGCCAAAAACCACTGAATTGCATACTTTAAATGGGTGAATTGTATAGTATGTGAAGTATATCTCAATAAAGCTATTAAAAAACAAAGGCTATTGTGTGCATAAAGAATATTTTAGCCAAGAGAGAGGAAGCTGGATACAGTGGCCTATGGACACTCTTCTTAACTATGGGAAGGCCATTCTATATCATGTCATCTGCTCCATCATACACCTAAAGAGTCCCCAAAGAGGCAGACATGGCTATCTTGGGTCTACCTGAGGGAGGTTAGTTACACTTTGAATTTATCAGGACTCTTGATAATGTGCCCTACCTCTATTATTGCTCCATAAGAGTATCCGGGAAGTTCCAGACTATGTTGGATCATCACTTAGAGATGGAATGTTCTCTGGAATCAAAACAAACATATCTCCTGTCTCAGCTCTAGTTTCCAAAATTTAATGTGTAGAATATAGAAACCAAGTTTCAAGCTGTCATCCACCTAATTTACATAAAGATACTAGGGTATTTTCCAACACTCATCAGAAATGCCACATTGTAACAAATTTAAAGATCATGGTGAGCTACTAATTAATTCCAGGTCCGATATTCTCAGTTGTAACTAAAGAGACAGCAGCCTAGTGTCATAGACATGAAAGGTAACAGACAGCCCTAAGCTGATGCCCCAGCTTTATCACCTAAAAATGTTTATTACTGCCCTGTACCTTGTAATCTTGAAAATGGAAATAACTAATCTTTCCTCAAACAGAATAAAATTGGGGAGTGACTACTTAAGGGGAATGGGGACTCCTCTGGGGTGACAGAAATATTTTGGAATTAGAGGTGATGATTGCACAACACTGTGAATGTCCTAAATGCCAATGAACTGTACACTTTAAATGGTTAATTTAAATGGTTCATTTTATGTTATGGGAATTTCACCTCAATTTTTTAAAGGACCAGAATAAGGCAGCAGCTATGTTAATACTCCGTAACCTGTTCCTCCCACCTAACCTTTAGCATCACTCAGACAAGAATAGGACGCTTGCCTCGACGCAAGCCCTCTATCCAGGCTGAGGCTCTGGCTGCATCTGCTCTTCCGTGATCCAACTCTGTGAGCAGCCAGATCCCATAAAACCTCCCACCTCAGCACAGGATGGGGCCAGACCTCACCCCACCGAGTCCTACACAACCTCAGGTTGACAGTGACGGCAAGAGCCAACTCCTCTCCTCTCCTGGGCACCAACTATTGGCCAGAGTTGGGGAGGGATTTGTTTTTGGGGTTGTTTTGTTTTTAATTTTAGAACACATTGGTGATTATGCACATATTTTACTTGAGATCTGTGCTATGGATCTCGGGCCACCTCAAGTTATATATGTATTTTTAACTAAGCACCAGTAACAATCTTCTTTGTAATTTATTTTTAATTTTTAGTTGTGGTAAAATCAAATAAAGTTACCATCCTAACCATTTTTAAGTGTACAGTTGAGTAGCATGAAGTACATTCACACTGTTGTACAACCAATCTCCAGAACACTATTTTGCAAAACTGAAACTCTATACCCATTTAAACAAGAACTCCCTATCCTGCCTCCTCCCAGCACCTGGCAACCACCACTCTACTTTCCGTCTTTATAAATTTGACTACTCTAGGTACCTCACATAAGTGGAATCATAGAGTATTTGTCTTTTTGTGATGGGCTTATGCCACTGGGCATAATGTCCTCAAGGCTCATCCACGTTATGGCATGTGGCATTGATAATGCAGGATTATTCAGCCTTGAAAAGGAAGAAACACCAGGCGCAGTGGTTCATGCCTATAATCCCAAAACTTAGGGAGATCCAAGCAGGTGGATCACCTGAGGTCAGGAGTTCGAGACCAGCCTGGCCAACATGGTGAAACCCCATCTCTATGAAATACAAAAAATTAGCCAGGCGTGGTGGCAGGTGCCTATAATCCCAGCTACTTGAGATGCCGAGGAAGGAGAACCGCTTGAACCTGGGAGGTGGAGGTTGCAGTGCGCCAAGATTGCGCCATTGTACTCCAGCCTGGGCAACAAGGAAACTCCATCTATAAATAAATAAAAAGGAAGAAACTTCAGACACATGCCATAATGTGAGTGAACCTTGAGGTTCAGCTGTCAGTGGTCACCTGGGTTGCTTCCCTCGCTTGGCTATGATGAATAATGCTGCTATGAACGTACATGTGCCAACATCTCTTCGAGGCCCTGCTTTCCATTGTTCTGGGTGTATCTGCAGATATATGTGACCCTCACCCAGATAAAAATAGAAAACATTTCAAGAACCCGCCAATAGAGTTTCCTTGTGCCCCTTTCCAGTTTATACCCCCCTGATCTTTCTCATCATTAATTCAGTCTATTCCTGACCTTCATATAAATGGAACTACATAGCATGGTCCATGCTTTAAATGTTTTTAGGACTTTTGGTTTGAGAAAGTCTGAAACTTTTTTCACTCAGGAAAGTTGAATATTATTGTCTTAAGTCTCTTCCCCCCTTCCTTTTTCATTTGGAAATAATTTCAAGTGTATAAAATGTTGCAAAACTAAAAATAAAAACAGTAGCAAAAATACCAGATGCCCTTTAGCTAGATTCACCAATTGTTATCATTTTATCCTATTTGCTCTATCATTTGTGCACGCATTTTCTGTTTCTCTCTCTCTCCACACACACACACACACGGACACACACACACACACACACACACACACTTTATTCCTGGATCATTTGAGTGTACCATACATACATTATGGCCCTCAGTGTGTATTTCCTAGGAACTGGGACACTCTCTTACTTTTATAACCACAGTGCAGTTACGGGTTCCAGGTGCTGACATTGATAGAATGTGTATCTAACCCAGGGCCCACAGTTCAGTGTGGTCAGGTGTCCTAACATCCTGTACAGGATTTCCCCGCTCTAGTACCAGAACCAGTCTGGAATCAAGGATTGCATTTACTTCTAACTCTGGGCTCCTTTGTCTTTTATGACGTTGACATTGGAGGAGCAGTGTACTACCCCTCTCCCTTTCTAAAAGTTCCACATTTTGTGTTTGTCTGGTGTTTCCTCATGGTTTGACCGGGTTTTCACACAGGTAAATGTCCTTCCTGGGGCATCACGTCAGAGGCATGCCAAGATCATCTTGATTGTTACTTTTGGTCAGTTGATCTATGTGTTACTTGCTTTCTCTACTAGATAATCACTGTTGTGGTTTTTTTTCTCCCTTGCAACTAACAGGAAGTCTGTGGGGACACATCTTAAGTGCGTGCAAATATCCTAAATGTTGGTTCTCACCAACATGTAGCATTCATCACCTTTAGATTTAGCATCCACTAAAGATTCCCACCTGACCTGATCTTTATGATGGCTGCAAAATGATTTTCCAGTGTCACCAGTCCTCAGCATTCTACTTCTCTTCCATTTACTTATTATCAATATAGACTCCTATGTTTCTAGGGATTTACAATTCATTATTGTACTTCATTATTCTGTGTTGGGGGAGGCAGCAATTGAGGAAGGGTTTAGAGTGTGCCTACATAGACTGGTTATAAGTAATGTAAAAAAAAATCAGGAACAATAAACTGCGGAAGGCCGTGGAGGCCTCTGGAGAGGAAGGCCTCTCTATGCCAGCATGTTCCCAGGAACGGAGTGACCTAAGCTCTGATATTCTAAACATAGTGCCCAAGGACATAACACTCCCTTGAAGCACTGGAATCTAACCAGGCATGTTGGCTCCTTGCTAAGCCCTCTCCCATCAGCTCCACTGTCTATTGATAAACGTATGCTTTTAGCTCATGAGAAACTCACATAAACTACCACTGCTATCAATTTTATATTTGATGAACAGCCTCCCCGTCACCAATTCACCCTACCACCTGCACTATAGATAAAAGTGGTTGTGTTCAATAAATATTGTGGAAACCACAGCTTGGGGCCTTTGCTGCCTCCATTACAAGTGATGGTCCCCTGGTCCCACCTTCATTCTTAATCTGTCTTTTTCTCATTCCTTTGTTGCCCCCGAACTCAGGGTATCCATGGGTGGGATGTGGGGGCTGGCTCCTTAC